CCTCCTTACAATAATTCGGCCAACTCAGAGGGAAAGAGGAGCTCCAACAACTCCTCATCAAGTTCAAGCTTGGAGGAAGTGAGAGGCAAGCAAAATTCCAGGGGAAACTAGCTAGGAAGAAGGTAAGAACTCAACTATCTTCTTTTAACTAGTTTTATGGTGTATGATTTGTAAGAAATCATATGATGGATTAAACATGATGTTCTACACGTTTAAAAGTGTAGAATATTGATATAAAGTGGTGATATTCAACTTAGAAGAGTTGGTGAATCGATAGGAGTCGAAATCGCCGGAAACCGCCACTTTAAGGGAGCTGCTCGTTTCTGCAGAACACGAAAGCCGCCCGGCTTTTGCCCAGGCAGTCCAGTTTTGCCTTTCAATCAGCCTAGAACGGGGATTGATCGAGGGGCGTAACAAAGGCAACTATTGTAGCACATCACGAGGTGAGGATGGCTGACTATATTGCTTATAATTAGTGGGTTAATTTCATAAGATTGCCTCAAGTAATTAGATGGGATTTTCATGGATTATTAATGATTAATAATGCCTAAATGAAAATAATATTGATATGAGTGAGTGAAGCATGATTTACAAATTTAGAATAATTGTGTATGATTATGTGAAATGAATGGAACGGCATGTTAATGAAATTACTATGATGACATTGTGGTAAAATATACCTTTACTTCATGTATGAAATTCATGAATGGTTAAAAGTGATAATTTTGATTTTTGGATTAAATTATATTTGGATCGGAAAATCAATCGAGATGAATTAATTGGCTATGACTTAAGAACTTGGCGGTTCTAAGATTTATCCGACTAGTGTTGGAATACTAGTCAGAAGATTAATATAAATAGATGATGGAATTAATCCTAAGAGATAGGATTGTAAATGAGTATGTCTTAAGTAGTCTTAAGAGATACTTTAAGGTTGAATTATATGAACACTAAGGTGCGATAGGGGTAGGCCTAAGGCTACCCAAGGAAATTGATTCTAGGCATAGGATTTGCTTGAGAATGTAATTATGAAAATAATTAGAGTTGGACTCTAGGATGACATGGAAATGTAGTTGGGCCGAGCCCATGCCATGTAATATGATTAGCATGGAAACGTAGTTGGGCCGAGCCCTTGCCATGTATATGTGACCTCCGTGGAAACGTAGTTGGGCCGAGCCCTTGCCACGAAGTTATGGTTGGTATGGAAACGTAGTTGGGCCGAGCCCTTGCCATACAAATTTTGATACGATATATTGAGTTAGAGGATTGTATAGAAATGTAGTTGGGCCGAGCCCATGCTATACAATTGGGGCTCGATGGGACCCCACGGGGTTATCGTGACTTGCGGTCACGGGGGAATGGAAACGATGAATTCTAAATGAATATGGGCCTACGGGCTGACTACTTGACTTTATATAAAGTAAGTACAGTTAAAGAAAAAGGGGTAACCGAGGGTTATGGCCTATAATATAAATTAAAACGTTGATTATACTTAGTATAGTTGCTATTGTACTTGTCAAATATTTCCAAGTACTGACCTCCCCTTCACGGGGGAGGCCACCTCACAGTTTCAGGTAGGACTTGAAGGTTGCTACCATCGCCCGCGGCTTCAGGAGGATCAAGGGGAGAAGACGTGGTTCGTGCTTCTTCCGTTCTATTTTAAAAACAATTACGTTAATGCTCATGGATATTATTTTTGAATAATTTCTTTGGGGGCTTGTATGCCGAGTTATGCCAAGTGTGGCTTGAACAATTGTATTTATGCTTCCGCTGTTTTAAATGAATGATTTACATTATGCTTGTTTATGGATGTACTATGTGTGAATGATATTCATGACGCCTTGTATAGTATGGATGAGTCGGACTACGGTTGACTATTCGTACTGTACGGCGGGTTGTTGACGTGTCCGGCTAGGCCCGGGGCGTGACACATGCCCCCTACTTGCTTGGACCTACTCATAAATTCTCAATCCTTCCATCTAATCCCTCATGCACCTTTACCGGTCCACCAGTACTCATTCATTAAAATTTCGATTTCCTTATGAAGCTCACGAGGTAAGAGAAAAAAGGCTCATAGCGTAAGTTGGCATAGATTGTACCATCGCTTTAAGAAACACCTCTCTACCAGCTTTGGACAGAAATCTATTATTCCAGCTATGAATGCGTGCATTAGAAATTCAAAACTTTGATGAGAGTTTTTTGAAGATTGGAGATGGGATCCTGAGGACGGTGATGATGAAGAATCAATGGTTGACATCCCTGAAAATTTTATTGCTCTTATGATGGAAGAACCTATTGAAGCTATTGTTAAGATCACCTATCGCGATTTTGAAATGCATTGAAATGACGTTTCTTATTTGAATTGCAGGGCAATTCTTACGCCAACCATTAATGAACGCGACAAAATCAATGATTACATGTTGCGGCTAACCCCAGATGGGGTAAAGACATACTTAAGCTCGGGTCAGTCATCATCTTCTGACTCAGAAAATGCAATCCTTCAAGAGATCCACTCTCTAAAATACCTCAATACCATTAAATTTTCTGGTGTGGTAAAATATATTGTACAGCCGGCTATACCATGCGCACGGTACAACCAGTTTTTTTGTTCTCTGCGCATCACATCTTGTCATCCTTGGGAGGCTTCGCTCTCACCGTCTGGATCTCTTCTTCGTCCCTCGGAGGCATCGCTCGCACGATCTGGATCTCTTCTTCGTCCCTCGAAGGCTTCGCTCGCACTGTCTGAATCTCTTCTCCAGTTCTCCTCTAGCTCGTGTCGTTCGTCGCTTCCTCCCCACAGGGATCACTTCGCTTGCCTCTTGGATCTGCGATAAATGGAGCTCTCAACCGAGGTCTCTGGTGGATTTCACGATTGACGGGGAAGAAAGGCATCTCAACCCTAAATTTGGCTCTGGTTTCTCTTTTTTTTTTCCTTTTTCTTATGGAGTATACAATAGTTTTACTGACGAGTATACATAAATACAAAGTTTAGCATAATAGAGATTTAAATGAGCTTTTTTGAATTGTCCGATGCTCATTTCGTAATTCGTGTATGCTCATTTGGTATTGAGGTAAACTCATTTTAAAATGTCATATTCATGCATATTTCAAAAGTATAATATTATATTAAATTTAAATATTAGATTCATAGGGGTGCATTGTAGATGTTTTAAAAATAAGAAAAATAAAATGAATCATAAGATATGAATCTGATATCATGATGCTCATTATTAGACTCTCATTACTCAGTAGAATAAATTTGATGTCCATTGCAAGTGCATTCATGCTCATTGAGCGGAAGTCACGAATTACACTAAAATTACCAAAATGCCAACGGCTGTACAATGCATGCCGTACAACCGACTGTATGGTATTCGGCTCCTTCTGGTGTGGCAATCCATGATCTGAAACTTAAAGTGGGTGCACTTGTGATGTTAATGGGGAATATCGACCATTCTTTGAGATCGTGTAATAACTCTCACCTTATCATCATTAAACTCGGTACACATATTCCTGAAGCTAGATGATGTCAAGAACAAATGCAGGACAAAAATTTCTTATTCCAAAACTTAGCTTAACTCCATATGACCTAAATTTGTAGTTCACATTTCACCTTTTATGCTTAATTACGTGATGACCATCAACAAAAGTCAGGGATAATCTTTGGAGAGGGTTGGTGTTTTCTTACGTTGTCCAATTTTCACCCATGGACAATTTTACGTCGCGGTCATAAGAGCATTGTCTCCATCTGGATTGAAGTTTATTATATGTGATTATGACGGAAAATAGACCAAGAAGACTTTAAATGTTGTTTACAAAAAATCGTATAATAATTTATACGTAGTAATTTTTTATTTTCATTTGCTTTTGTTAAAAACAATATACTATCGTATTTGTTGTTCTATCTTTCTCACACAACATTTATATATTCACAAATAATTTTTGCTTACTAACTCCATTCCGTGCGAGACATTGATGAAAAATCTAATCTCATACTCCCTCTGACTCAAAAAGATTGGCCAAAGTTGATTTTCACGTGAATTAATAAAGTAAAAACTGTGTGGTTGAAATTTGTGTAGAGGAGAGATAATTAATTTTAGCCACATATTTCTTACTTTAAATGGAAATGACAAATCTTTTTAGAGCACCCAAAAAAAGAAATTTGATCAACCTTTTCACGACGAAGGGAGTATCAATGTGGTCAGATCTCTCATCTACAAAATTGATAAATCTTGACAATGAAATAAACGGAAAGTGTAGGATACCAAATCCAAAATGTGACGAGCATTTTGGTTGACCCATGGACAAACATGGTAAACCCAAATTAATAACCACATTTGGGTTGATTAGAAATGGGCGAACCCTTTTAATGAAATAGGTCGAGATAGGGCTGCACATCGGGCGGGTTGGGTCGGGTTTGCTATATTTTTTGGGCCTACCCGATTTGTTCGGGTTGGCTATTATTCAACCCGCGGTATGCAAAATAAGTTGGTAAACCATGCATGAACGGGTCGGGTATTGAAAAAAAAATCACTTCGGATTGCATCTTTATGTGGGAGATTAATGTAACCAATTTAAAACTCGATTAACTTGTTTTCAAAACACACAAACAAATACAAGTATTTGTATCTTTTATAAGCAAAAACATTAGATAATAGTATTAAAACATCCTTCCGTAGAGGAAGATCATTTAAAAGGAAACATTAATATATAATAATCACCTAGTCAAAATGGTAAATGTTTAATTATAATTCTAATATCATAGTCCTAGATAGAGCACATTGATCTTAAATTGAAATTATCCAAGAAAACATTGTAGCATAATAATAGTAAAATGAACTTCGGCCGGATCGGGTACTATCGGGTTAGAGATTTTAATTCCGCAACCCTACTCATTAGGTGCGGGTTCAATCATATTTAACCCATGAATATTTTAAAAAATCAAATACCCGATTAAATAAGATCGGATAGGGTTGAGTTGGACAGGTTATGCGGGTTAAGGTTATTCTGCAGCCCTAGGCCGAGAAATCTTAACAGTTAATAGTTAAAACGCTGGTAGAAACTGGACTGAACCCTGGTTACTGGACTCTCCAGTTCAGACCTTCTACGGAGGCAGCTCCATTTCATTCATCCACCAAAGGCGAATCCATGTCGAAGTGGTGGCGCTCTGTGGCTGTTGCCGGCCACGGCTTAAGAAACGCGACGGGCGCGCCGAGCCGACGGTCATATTTCACCATTCAGGCCATCCCAAGAGAGGTCACAGGGAGCGGAGTTTCCGCTAGGGACCGAGCGCAGGGACGTATCCCCGCCATCGTCTTCTCACAGAGCTACTTCCAATCAAACCCTAACGATCCGAAATCCATCGCAGCAACGACCTCCGTGTCCCGGAAACGCCTCCTTACTACTGAGAGAAAGCAGATTAAGACCATTCTCGATTCCATACAACTCCCGTTCTTTTGCTCCACTACGTTTCCGTTACAGATTCGGGCCGGGTCGGGCTCCTCGTCTTTGCTAGAATCCGGGAAAGTGCTTCCCATCAAGGCAAGTAATGATCTTTTTGTAAAAATCATTGTATTTAGCTGTTCTGTTGTATGAGTCTCTTCATCCATTTTCCCGCAATGTAGATCCACAGAGATAAAGAGTCCGGGAAAATATTGAATTTGGTTTTCGTATGGGCTGAAGATGGATCCAAATTAAAGGTGGATATCCCTATAGTTTTAAAAGGAGAAGTTGCATGCCCTGGTGTCAAGAAAGGTTCGTCTTGTTTATATCCTTCAGTAACATTTCCTTGTTTTGCATTAATTTTTACCTATAATGTTCTAAATGTGCATGCTCAAGTAGCAAACTGTAGCAATAAGATGATGGTGAATAGTTCATAACTTCACTAATCACTAGCAATCTAGCATTAATCTGTGTGCTGTATGAGTGGGTTCATACTCTATTTTAAACAGCCACCTTCTAAACACTTATCTAGACTGCATTTTATTTCAACATATTTGAATGCATGTATTAGTAGACACTCCATTTTGATCAATTGTGTGAATTTGTTAGATATACTACAAGCATTGTAATTAGTATAAGTCAGTTGCAGACTAGTTAGTTAGTTCAGTTGAGCAGCAGCCCTCTATATAAACTCTCTGTACACTTCATTTCAATCAATGAGAATATACTACTTCTATCATTTTTTTTCTCTCTCTCTCTCTCTCTCTCTATAATTCTATTCTGGTATTCAAATATACATCCTGATTTATGTTGATTATCCTTGTCATTGGAAACAATCCTGCAGCTATCTCTCTGGCACCATTACACACGGAATTCTTATCAAACCCATTTCTTTATCCACTATGCCTCTACCCATTTCAGCATTCTTGGTCCGAATATTATTTCTTGGTGGTCCAAGAAACAGCTGTGTGTTGCCAGATCCTCAGCAGTGGCTGAGTATAGAAGTATGGCTGATACCACAACAGAACTTCTATGGGTTCAGTTTCTTTTTCATGAACTTCAAGTTTCTTTTGCTACTCCAAAAATTTACTGTGACAATCTGAGCACTGTTCAACTGGCACATAACCCTGTGTTACACTCTCGAATCAAGCATATGGAGATTGATCTGTTTTTTGTGCGAGATAAAGTTCAGTTGAAGCAAATGCAAGTGTTTCACATTCCTGCTCAACACCAACTTACTGATGTTCTAACTAAACCATTGTCTGCTTCATCCTTCATTGACTTAAGAACCAAACTCGGTGTGATTGCTCTTCCAGACCAATCACCCTGAGTTTGAAGGGGGAATGTTAGATATACTACACGCATTGTAATTAGTATAAGTCAGTTGGAGACTAGTTAGTTAGTTAGTTCAGTTGTGCAGCAGCCCTCTATATAAACTCTCTGTACACTTCATTTCAATCAATGAGAATATACTACTTCTATCATTCTCTCTCTCTCTCTCTCTCTAATTCTACTAGAGTTACATGCTTAGGGGAATATGTGTCTAGCTGGTTAGAGAACTATTCGGATGAAGCATGATATTGGTCCCATAATGCCATCAAGTCATCAACCAGTTTTAAATTTCTAAATATTGCGCTTAAAATAAGTAATGCAACATTTTTTAGAAAAAGTAGTGAAATTTGATGGGATTGTTTTTCAATTGTCCTGAAGTAGCAACTTGTTTCTCTATTCACAAAGATTAACCTAGAAAAGTGCATCAGTGCATGGTGTAGAAATTTTAGAAACATAAAGATATAATATAGATTACTAGTCGAGCAGGTGCCACCACTATATTGTTGTGTACAAGTTTCCTAACAAGTGTACAACAATATCCAAGTCTTGGTCCCAAAAGAGTTTGGGATCAGCTAACATAAATAGAGAATAATGAGATAAACAAATACAGATCAATTCCTGACCACCATAATCCACGTCTTTTTGGGCGGTCCTCTCCTTCTCCTCCCCACCTCTGATCCAATCTATTAATGTGTAATTTAAAAAAAACATACAAGTGGGATTAAAATAACAAATCCTCTGAGTCTGAGCTTTCTAGTCAATATACGTTTTCTTTTACTTTTTCAACCACCCTGTAACCCTTTTCCTTGATAGTCATCTCCCCCATCAGTATCACATAGTCCCCTGTTATGGAATCAGCAAAATTAGTCCGAACTCTGAATGGGGCCTTGTTATAGAATCAGCAAAAGTAGGCTGAACTCTGAATGGGGCTTTGTGGTCTCAATATCATTTAGCTTTTGAAGGGAGAGTTGAGATCAATTTTATGTGATTTTGGTGTTTCAATTTTGGTTTTGTAAAATGGATTATGAAGATACAAGTTCATACAAAGTTATATTGATAATGTCTACAGAAATAGAGGGGGGAGCACCTCATCATAGAACAACCATTATCACCCCTCATGATCAATACTCGGACTAAAATGTCGGTTTTGAAGGGCAGATGGTTTCCGAGTGCTCCCTTTGTTGTAAAAAGAGCTGTGTTTTAAAATATAGGCCCCAAAAATAGAGTCTGTTTTAAGTTGACAGTTTTGATTAAATTTACATATAAATTAAAAAATATAAGTTGGATTGATTACTGGTAAAAGTTTTACCTGAGTAAGAGTATATACTATATTACTAACGTATTTGTTTAGTATTGACTAAAAGTTGGGCCAGGACGAGTATTTATTAAAGTGAGGTTTTATTCCTAGGCATGTCTCCATATGATATATTTGATTTTGGTGGTTCCCGTATTTATTTCCAATTTGCTCATTTACCACCTGGGTGAGGGTTGACTTACAAGTTACAACTATTTTATATATAAATGGAAGTTTTATGTGGTGCACATTATTCACTATTCTCTATTGACTTGTGCTCTACAGTTAAAGTTTAGACGCATTATTATATACTTCTTCTGTCTAAAAAGATCAAATTGCATAAAAAAGGTTAATTTTCTATATTGTTTCTCAAAATTTTGCTAGAAAGGAGTTGCATATAATTTATGTATGATAAATTTTCTTAAACCACAAATGCATTGAAAAGTATGATTGAACATGACTCTTTTTTTGTGAAGCATGTGGTATGTTTTACTCCATAATTTTTTATTTGATACTGTATGCTCGACTTTGAAGTGCTGAAAAGATATGGTTTATATGCTGCGTGCATCTTTTGCTAATTTTCTTATCGTAGTGACATTTTTTTTGTATTTTCATTTTGGCCAACTACAGGAGGTCATCTAAACAAGGGAAGAAGTAGTCTGCAGTTTTTATGTCCGGCTGAGAAAATCCCTCCTAAGATTGAGGTGGATGTGAGCAATCTTGACATTGGGGACAAAGTGCTGATACATGACATCAGCGTCGACCCTGATTTGGAGCTTCTGAGCACGTATCCTGAGATGCCTGTATGTAACATTCGGGCCACTTATGTTGATAAGTCCGAAACTGTGCCTTAGTTATATCCTGATGGAGTACTAGTAGTAGGTATAAAGGAGACTTTATAATTCTCCAAACGTAATCTAAAGTTTTGTGTTTTTAGACTAATGCATGGCAACCTTCTTGACTAGAGTCTGCAGATATGAAACTTTGTTCGCTATACTTTTTATTTTGTGTTTCTGAAATGAATTGCCATATGGCCATACCAATTATCCTAAGTTTCCAGAATGTTCTGGAAGGCGCAATCCATGGTGTGGATTGGGGCCCAACACCCAACCACAGCCTAGTTGGAGCAGATGGAGCATAGATGAATTTGGTTGAGGGAGTGCAGGGTAACTTAGCAGAGACAATGTAGTCACCCTGGGGAAGTATTAGGGTTGAACAAGAAAACTGATTGCAATTTGTAAATAGACTTGCATAAAACTGATTGTAGGGATGCTTTACTTGGACTGAGAATTATGTGCTTTGGTTTGGGTTTGTTTTGGTTTGATGGTAAATGTATGTATTATGGATTAATTGTGGTTTGATCTAGTCAAATCAGTTCAGTTTAACTCTAGTTTGAATTGATGATTGAAATTTGTCAAGTAATAACATCCCAAGTTTGTAACTGATTGTAAGCCACAAAATTAAATCAAATGAAATCATTTCACCAATCAAGATGATCAAACCATGGAAGGTTCAGTTTACAGGTTAGGTGTATGTTCTAAAAACTGATGTGATGAACATATCACTGTGATCAAAGCCGGCCTAACTCCTAAGCATGCACCTGAACTCCTGAAGTCCTGAACAGAGACAAAGTTAAAAATTACTGAACAAGAAATTGACTCAAGTTCACCTTTTTTAAAACGGAATTGACTCTAATCAGAACCGACAAACACCCCTGGGAAGTATAGTATTTAGAATTTAGACAGGAATGCGGAATAAGGCAAGTCTAGATGCTATAGGTCAACTTACAGGTTTGAAACCTGCAGGAAATTTCAGAGCAATCAAGGGCATAAATTAGGGGTACTGTTTTGCTTTAGTTCAAAACTTTCAACCCCGTGAATGCCACTCTGCCTACCCCAATATATTAATATTAATCTGTATTAAATAAAGCCCCTCCTTGCTTTGGAATGATCAACCATATTCCCCCCACTTTGCTTCAACTGTTGCATGTATAAAACCTGCGACTTTGAGAGTGGTGATGGATGCTCCTCCAGCTCTCCATATGGTGACTACAGAAAACTCCACTCCAGAAGAAGATGATCAAGACGAAGTCATCAATAAGGGGTAAAATACCACATCTTTTTTCTTTCTTTTCTTTCTTTTTAGTTTTTATGAAGAAAAAAGTGCAGTGACAATCTATTACAGGTTAATTAGAGTTGGAAGAATGGAAGCTGTAGGGTTTTGTTGATCTTATATGTCTGTTCAGTAGCTTATTTCTTCTTATCATTATACACAGTATAATAAAAACCCGTTTGGTAAAGGCTATTCGACTACTGTACACTGATTTTTTTACTTTTAAAAATAACATGTTTGTTGAAGTCCATTTCAACGCCTATAGTGTTAAACCAACTCATTGTGATTGTTGTATCGGTAAGCAATAGGCTTTTGTAAAATGACCATTTTTTGAAATGGTTGCTGAACATATCTTTATCTCTACAAAATTAAAAGCCCCTTTGATAACACAGAGATTAGCTTAATCGGTTGAATACGTTGAAACTGATGATATTTTGGTTGAAGTGACTAAATTGATTTAATATGATGAATTGTGAATAAAAATAGTTAAAATATACAAGTATTTAATTGATAATAAATTTAATAAAAAATTATATGAAAAATAATTTTTTTTGGAATATACTTCTAAACTTATTATAGTTTATACTGCTTATAATGTCAACATCCTTGATTGCAATGAGATTCGTACTTGCGACCTCTTTTGAGAGATTAACAGTGATGTCATCAGATTACAAGGTACTAGACAATTCTATAATTAAAATACTCTTCTTTAATAACTTAGACAATTCATCCAGAAAAGTAACTCAATCCTTATTTCCTTACTTATTTTGAGTATCACATAATTCAGCGCGCAAAATCAAAAGTTACATACTTACATGTTTGATAGGGTGAAAACGGGGTTACTAAACGCGCTTAAAAGTTACATGTTTAATCATAGTAGAAACTAACTCTTATCAATAGGCTTTGGATCTGATGAATATGTTTTGGTTTTGATTGAGGTGCAGGTGTTCAAGCATTTACGATTTAATCAAAATGTCTTGGGAGACCATCTTTTGTTCCGATGACCCTTAAAAATGTCTGGTCGCTTTTTCAACTGAAGAAACTCGTCCAATTACATTACGTCACGATGCATGAAAGTAGAAATGTTTGTTTTAATGATTTAATTTGGCTATGGATGGCCTTCACTATACTCTATTTTGTATCGTTCCCTTCTTCCATTTCAACCATTCCGCGCCCCTCTCCAAACTTGAAAGTTTTACTAGTTTGGTACCATAAATAATTACTTGGTTGAAATTTATTTGGTTTGGGGATTTGAATGGAGATAATTGATATGAAGTTTTGTTTTAGACCCTCACATTTAGGGGAATTGAAAATATATATTCTAAATATGTGGGTAATTGATACAAAAATTATCACTATTTCTATTTATCTACATCTATGTTTCCAAACCAGACAAAATTCTAATGTCTATATTTGTGAATGCAATCAAAACTAGTCTTTTTTTGCTTTTGGCTTGTAAACTCTACCTATACTACTAGTGCAATACTGATCTATTGAAAATTGCAATAGCCCTGGTAGTATTCAATAACCATTTTCATTCAAATTATTATACTCCCTCCGTCCCATATTTATCTTCACAAGTACAATTGACACACATATTAAGATAGTGGGAAATGTATGGTGGAGAGTTGTGCAGAGGAAAGAGAAATGTGTAAGAATGTGTAAGAATGGTTGTGATTCCGGGACGGAGGGAGTAATAGAGATATCTTGTAAGTGATTCATTTATTCAAAAGATGGAAAAATATCATAAATAGAACCAACATAAACAATGCTTGCCTACGACATATAAACAACCACCGAAAAACAGAATAACTTGAAACCCGACCATGTTCATATGACATGTCCAAAATACTAGCTCGACATTGATATTCTCCTATTACCCCTGTTTGGATTTCCCTGGACAGTCTCCCCATCCATTTATTTGATAAATATACTCTTTTAAATTGCTGATCCATGGGAAAATCTATTAAACTTGATGTATCAACCCAGTGGTGAAATCCATTGAGTTGTGCTTGGTAATCCAGTGATGTATCAATACATTTACAAGAACTTGGATAATAATTTTGGATGAGACACTATATTCAATTACAGTTTCAGCAAAATGTAATTTTTTAAGTGTAGTGACTATAATAGTAACTTAAGACATGATAATTTATGTTCAATTTTTACACTTAATTGATTATAACACCAGAGTCGAATCCATGCACATATTTTTATAGTGGAAGGTAGACGATTAGAAAAAAACCAGCCCACACATTTGCCCCAATTAAAATAAGAGATTGCCCCCAATTGTTGTAGAGCCTAGCGGTTCAACCCAATTTTAAAAGCAAATAAGCAAAGAATTTCAGATTTCCATCATAGGCTAACACGGAAGTTAAGGGTCTGTTTACTAACAGAGATATTTTCCTGTTTTCTACTTCTGTTTTTCGTTCTCCAATTTTCTGTTTTTATTTTTCAATTTTTCTATCTCCAGTTTTCTGTTTCTATTTTCTAGTTTTCCATTTTCAAATCTGAAAACATGTTCATCAATTTTTTCACCCAATTCTGTGATCATCCAGAAGACTGACACGTTTACTTCACAGGTTACTAAATGAGGCTTATTAAGACTCGCGTTAATAAGCAACACATAAAATAAGCAATGTTATAAGACCATGTTTACTTCAAAAGGTTTAAAACACCGCTTAACATTAAAATGTCCAAAATAACCTTATACATATATAGACACACAAACATTCATGAACACAAATGTATAATATATTATGCGGGGTCGATCACCTCGTACGTGTACCCATACTCCCAACCCCTACCCTGCCCCTATACCTCGTACCCCCACCTTACACCCCACACCCAATTCCACACCCTTGACCCCTACCCATACCCTTACCACGATCTTACACTCTATACATACTCGTAGGGGTCGGGTGATAAGTCCGTATTTAGACATGCATTTGATGCGTGTTGGGATCGGGTTTGATGGTTTTACCTAGCTTTAAGGTATTACAAATCTCAATTTTAGCTCAAGTTATGTTTACCGAGCATTGGTTCAAGTTTTGTGTCATTTGGAGTCACAATGAGGATTTTAGAGTTCGGCACCGGCGCTTGAGAAAAAATCAGGATGAGTTGAGAAGCATTCGAGAGTGATTTGATAGATTTGGAGGTCACCGGGAGGTTCACGATGAAGATTTGAAGGAAAAAGAGTTCTAGGATTGGCTACGAGATCAAAAGAAGATGAATGGAGCTTGAAATCGGCGATCAGGATGACCTTCTGTCAATCGTTCAAGCATATCTATTTGTAGAAACATTCAATGGACACGATTCAAGTTCCATATGAAATCTAACTTTAAGGGATACAAATAATATGAAGACACCTTTGCGAGAATCTTAGAGGAAGAAGGTGAAAACAGACAATGAAGTCAGATGATCTCTGCTGCGATTTAAGAATGATACCTTCCACCGTGTTAATCATATCTCTTTATTGGATGATTCAAATCACATTAGGCAAATTGGGATGGATAGGGGACTTCATTATCTACAACTTTAATGAGGGAAGCATTGCCAAATTAGGAAGTTAAGTAGGCACGATCGAGCCCTCAAAGTCAGGCACGATCGTGCGTGATGAGAAAGCATCACAGAGCTACTGCCAGTCAGGCACGATCGTGCCTGGAGGGAGGCACGATCGTGCCTGCCCAAAATGCGCGTTTTTGTTTCGGAGGTACGATCGAATGCACGATCGTGCCTGGAACCGTGCCTGCCTCCGGAAATCCCAATCCAACTCAAATTTCACCCGATTTTTCTATTTAAACAGCCTGTAAACCCCTGTTTTCAGGGGGAGCTTAGAGAGATGACCTAGCACGAAATTTTGAGAGCTTTTCAGTCTTGTTATTCAATTCTTTGAGATTCTTTATAAGTTCCATCTTTTTAATTAATGATAATTGATTCTATTCTTCCCAATTCTATTGTTAATTCAATTATGAGTTGTGAGTTGTTTTAATTAGGGATTTGGGATTGATGAAGGGGTTAATCACGATGTATGGCTAGTTTCTTGATGGATTAATTGCATGAATGCCGTTTAATTTGTGTTTGAATGATTTAATTGATATCTTTTGTAACCTAGAACGGCCGCTAGAATTACAATTGCTTGTAGAATAAATTAAGAGAGATCCAATTTATTCTAGGACACCTTCACACACACTTAATCGTTCGATAAGAGATTAGTAGCGATTAAGAGGCCGTAAGCTCGCTCGTCTTTGCAATTGAAGGATAGTGGACCCGGAGGTATGTATCTGAAGGGTTACTACAGGGAGTAACTAAAGAGAAGTCAGAGCAAGTAAGAGAGAGAAAGTGTATTGAATATATGAGTTCAAAGCGTATTCAGAATGGTTTACAAAGGGGAAATGGGGTGCTATTTATAGTAGTAATAAATGCGAGATGGGGACATGTGTCAAGCATCCGGCGGCCGAGGGGTCACATCAACCGGGTGGCACTGGCATTCGCATGTGGCCGCATTTAATGCAGCGGTTGGATGCGACGTTGTACTTGGTATGGCGATCCAGGCGCATGTGGAGAGGATATTCTGTCGAGGAAGGTGTCCTCGGCCGTAGATGATTAGCCGGGGGCTCTTCATGCCGGGGGCCTCCTAGTGCCGAGGGCTCTAGGTGCCGAGGGCTACTGATTTTCGCCGTTTTCTCCCAGTGTCTTCGTATGCCTGAAATAGCATTCAGTGAGTATCTGAAGCCTTCGGCCAAGGAGTCGAAGGCACCCCCAGTGTGCATTGTTGACTGCTTGGTACTCGGGGCGCTGTGATTTGGGCTTGTTGTGCTTCCTGGGCCTATTGGGCCTTGATTAGAGTACTAGGAGTCTATGGGCCGGGGGTCGCTGGGCCTTATACTCCATCAGCAATAATTTAGGATCCTGTCGCATGAGAGATCAGCCTGGTCCTCTAAATTATTGTACTCTACGCCGCGAGAGCGGTAAGAACTTAGTATTGATTAGCTAGGCTCAATTAAATTAATTTCATGTAATTAAGCCTGATCTTCCAGAAATCTGATTACCCCGGAATCAATCCTTGTTCCCTTCGTCGTTAATTAAGAAGAACTCAAATGTTTATTTTTATTCGTTTATTTGCAATTTTAGTTTTCTTAATCAACCAAATCTCGCACGACTGCATTTATTTTATTTCTTTTCATTATCGCTGATTTTAGTTAGTCCTTAATTCCCTTTTTACCGTCCTTGTGGAAACGATACTCGTACTTTCACCGCTATTCTACAATCTTTTTAAGTGCGAGAAAACTCACATCATCGGGGTAGGGAAGGAAGGTATGGGTTGGGGTGGGTGGGGTGGGGTAAGGGTAGGGATAGTGAGTGGGGTTGGGGTAAGGTAGGTGTAGGGTAGGGAGTTGGGATAGGATGGCGGTAGGGTGGGGCCAGGATCAGGGTGGGGCTGAGGTAGGGGTAAGGGGTAATATACGAGGTGGGGTAGGGTAGGGTGGGTCGGGATTGAGGTGGTAGGGGGTTACGGTAGGGTAGGGTGGATCGGGGTGGGACCGAGTTAGGGGCATGTGGTAGGGGGTGGGGGTAGGGTCATTGTAGGAAAAAAAGGTATGCAGGGTGGGGGTGGGTGGGTAGGGTAGGGTAGGGTAAGGGGTAAAGTACGATGATGGAGGTACTAGAATGGAATCGACATCGGAGCGGGACCGGACCCACCACTAGGTGTAAGTATGCAAATTCATTGCAGCGACCTGTAGCATTTATGTTTTCTAAATTTGGAAAACTAGTAAAAGTCACTTCTCCAAATCATTAAGGAAAAGAGAGACATGTCTCATTTTTCGTTTTGGAAAACGATTTGGTAAACGCGTTTTTCTCTTTTCCTTTCTCCAGTTTTCCAGCAATTTTCTTTGGTAAACACGTTTCCTGTTTTCTGTTTTCTGTTAGTAAACAGGCCCTAAAATTTGGAGTTTTTTTCCGAATTAATGTTAATTAATTAATTACGAAAATAATGCTAGAAAAAAAGTATTTACCAATCTACCGCTGGATTTAACCATGGTCAGGGAAAGTCGCCCAACCGTTGGGCGACTTTCCCTTCCATATGAACGCAGACCAGCAACTACTGCCAGCCATGCACGATCGTGCCAACAAGGGGCACGATCGTGCCTAATTCCGAAAACAGAATTTCAGCATTTTTTGCCCCAGTTCAACCCAAACTCATCTGTTTGCTATAAATAAGGCCTCCCTTCTCCTATTTAAGTGTTACGAGCCAGATACAACACATTATAAAACATACAACACACCTGTTCACAAACACATACATAACACCTACTCTCAACAACATACAAAACACCTTGTAAAGACCCTTTACAAATCGAATACAAAACATTAGATTCATAATCGGTAAAACACAGTACAATCATCCAATATTCATAACAAGTAATCATCTAATATTCATTCTCGAACACATCAACACAACATACAAGAGTTTAGAAGAGAAAATACGTAAAATGTTGTAAATTGTTCCTACAACATCTACTGTACAAGAAAAACTGCAATACAAAAGGCAAACTACAAGTTCTCATGGTCTTCTTGATCGTCTTGGTCATGGAGATGTTGTTGCTGATGTCTACGCCTACGCCGTGTGGAGTATTTGTGATGTATGGGGAGTACTCGTGGCCTTCTGTCACTCTCATTTTACTGGTCTCACGCCTATTAACAAAATAAACATTAACCCGGTAAAAGGAAACCTGGACCAAAGCGGTGATGGGCAAATATCTGGCATTTTTCATCACGCTATTGAAAACCTCTCCCAGATTAGAAGTGATGGTACCGTATCTGTACCCGCCATCGTGGTGCAATGACCACATTTCCGGGGGAATGTTCCCCAGAAATTGTCGTGCCTCCAAACTCATTTCACCTATCTTCTTGAACCCACCGTCAAACTTCTTTTTCTGATGTTGCCGTGCGGTCCAGACAAAAAGATTTTTTAGTTGAATGTCTTTGAAATGAGTGTGCACATTCGATGCAAGATGGCGGATACATAGCCTATGATGCGCATAAGGCTCCTCCCAAGTACTGCCCACCTCATTCATTGCCCTGACAATACCTCCATGCTGATCAGAAATGACACACAACTCCCTATTAGTGACAAACTGCCTAATACATGCCATAAACCATGGCCAACTATCCCCATTCTCAGATTCAACAACTGCAAAGGCCACTGAAAATATTTGGTTGTTCGCATCACAACCCATGGCCACGAGCAATGTACCCTTGTACTTTCCATACAAGTGTGTGCCATCAATAGTAAGTACGGGTCGATAATGCTTAAAACCATGTATTGATGCCTTGAATGCCCAAAAAACTCTTTGAAACTGCATATAACCTGTGGGAGTATTAGGGGGTGGGTACCACTGCACAATAGTTCCAGGATTTGAATCTTGGAGCGCTGTCATGAAACGGGGTAATTCAGAATATGACTTCTCCCAACCGCCAAATATTTCTGCTATGGCCTTTTGCTTCCCCATCCATGTTCTCCGGTATGATACCGTATACCCATACTTTTCCTTCAGCATCTCAATGATAGTATGCACTTTAAGGGAAGGACCAGTGCGAACAATGTCAATCACATCTTTAGAGATGAAATCTGAAGTCAAAGCCACATGATTAGTAGTGTCGGTGTTCCCAACACATGTAGCAGAATGAGGTCTAGGATAACGCACAATTGTGAAGGTGTCAAGGTTGCCTTGGTTCTTTGTGGCGCGTATTCTCCAGGGGCAAATACATTCTTTCTTCCTTTTGCATTATGCCACCCATTTGTGTTTATCGGACTCTATCACCCGATAAAATTGGTTCCGTTTGATAGAATACAAGCTCACCATATCGATGACTTGTTCTTTGTTGTCAAACTGTTGACCGGCCTCAAACTCACCTTCGAGGGTAAACCTTTTCTCACCTGATCCACTCATCCACGCATCAGTAAAGCCTTCAGGGAGATCATACATTATAGTAAAGTGGCTAGACGGGGCAGTTGCCATGACCGTATCACCATCATCTTCATCAGATTCTGTCATGTCATCACCATTGATGTTGTCGTCAGCATCATCATCACTTCCCTGCCCATTCACAAATGATGCACCGTTGTGAAAATACCTATCATCTTCCTGTATAACCATGTGCAGTACATGAGCATTTGAGGAGTTCCCTGCATTCACACCTGCATTGACATAATGCCTAGATACAACATCATTTGATGTTAATGGAGTATCATAAGCGTCACATATGGATTCCTCAATGTATATCTCCAGCGTCGACATGTCCTCCATCTGAACTATGCCCCACATATTTGTTATAGCTAGCTCATCAATGAGGGGCATAAGCATGTACTTTCCCCCGTTCATGGGAAATTTCATTTTTAAACGCAAAGAACGACTAGGATGAATCATTGTGGCTGCATGTATTTTTTGAAGGATCTCGAGCATGCAAGCACCACGAGAAACCATGACAAATGTGGTTCTACCACCTTCATGGCATATTTGCCCAACATCCTCATAATAGTTCCCTCCCCAATGACACACCATTGGGAAGCTTGAGAAATCCATATTCTAATAACAATTCATTGTCCAACTATCATGAGTAGACATCAATATACACAATTATACACATTCAAATTTTCAAATCTACCGAAATGCCCAAATGTCAAAATACACTTTAAAATTTACCATCAATTTAAAATCAAATTTCAACATGTCATACATATCCACATTTCACAACAACTCAATTCACAATCAATTCATAATCTAAAAATTCGAAAATTTTAACATTCAAAACCCTAAGTTCAAAATGAGATGAAATGATGTTTGATTTACCTACAAGAAAGAAGAAAGAGTGTTGAAGATGAAGATGGAGGTTTGCCGGAGTGGGGTCGCCGCAGATGGAGGTTCGCCGGAGTTGGAAATGGCTCGGTCGTCGTTCGTCCTTCGTCCTTCGTCGCTGCGGCTTGGGGGATTTGGGGATTGGGTTTACGTAGCGTTCTATTTTGTGGCTGGCTCATGTTTTTACTTAAGGGAAAGTCGCTCAATGGTTGGGCGACTTATAAGTCGCCCAACCGTTGGGCGACTTACCCCGACCATGGTTAACTCAGCAGTATATTGGTAAATACTTTTTTCCAACCCTATTTTCGTAATTAATTAATTAATTAACAATAATACGGATAAAACTCTAAAATTTGCATCAATTAAATCTTTTGAATCTCTAAACAAAACCAGTTGTGTACATGTGTTACAAAAAGTGCAAACATAAAAAAATACGGAGTAACTCTTATTGAGAAGCATAGTGTTTAAACAAGTATAACACCCGGGGCAATGCCCCAGTGGTGCCATTTATGTATTAAATTAGTAAATATGGATAGATTTTTTTGAAAGAAATATCAATAGAAGTTGATAATCTTAACATATATTCCATCCGATCTTAAATAAGTGCAATTGAGCGAGATAATTTTCTCTATCATATAGAATCATTACACATTTGTGAAAGATGTAGTATAATTTTCTCTCTCATATATAATGCTTTTGAGTAGAAGATAAGTCGGCTAACAATTGAGCGAGATAATTTTCTCTCTCATATGGAGTGCTTTGAAGTATAATTAAGATAAGTCGGTTTACAATTGAGTGACCAACTTTTCTCTCTTATATGTAATGCTTTGAGGTATATGATAAGCCATCTCACAATTGAGTGAGATAATTTTCTATCACATATATAATGCTTTTGTGTATAAAATTTTAGGTATAAGAAGATTAGGTCATAATTAAGAAGTTTAACAATTGAGCGAGATAATTTTCTCTATCATATACTCCCTCCGTATCATATTAGTTGCCGCATTGAAATTTACACGCTATTCATGTATACTACTTTGACTACCTTTTATTTATTAATAGATGTGAATTTTTTTAAAAAAATATTGTTGAATTAGTCTCATTACAAAGTTTCATAATTTATTTTTTATTTTTTTTACTAATAGGGAATTAAATATAATGATGGTCAATGTTGTGCATTAGTAAGCGTGAAAAATGGAATGTTGCAACTAAAAAAGAACGAAACTCCATAATTAAAGTGTTATAAACCTTATTTCTTCCTTATTATAATGTCATTCGAAATTCAAAAATTGGCAAATGAAAATGATAACCACATCGGGTGCTAAACTGTTAATAAATAAAACTTCTAAATTTAATTCAATTTAATAGTATGGTATTCTTTCTTGTTAAGAGAAGGGACAAATATGAAAAAATTGATTAAACATTTTTGGTTTGTTTTAATTTGATCTAATCTATTTATGTTTAGCTTGATTTGAAGTAACCATTATGTCTGAATTGGCTGAAGTTACTATAGTCAACCATTTTAAACTACTTTTCATTTAATTCTTTTCTTTATTTCATTAATACAATATATTTTAAATTAAATGTATCCATAAATCAATATTGAATATATAAAAATATAATTTTTTAACGGTCTTTATAATTATGTATAAAATAAAATTATACTCCCTCCGTTGTCCCAATTTGATGGTCCTATTGCGGTTTATGAGGCTTGACCGACGATAAAGCAAATGAATTTCTGTTCGCACTCAAATTATTTGTAGCAAATAAAATTTACATACTCAGAAATTACATTAAAAGTTTTACAAGCTCGCAAAAACCTGAATCAAATTTCATAAAAATTTGATATAAAAAGTACTCCCTCCGTTCCTAAATAAACTTCCAACTTTCCTTTTCCGTCCGTTCCAATTAAAACTTCCACTTTCCCTTTTTGTTAAAGAATTTGTAGTTCACAACATTTGTTACACATTTCTCTCTCCTCTGCACAACTCTCCATCACACAATATCCACTATCTTAAACTTTGTGCCAAACTCATTTGGAAGTTAAAATGGGAACGGAGGTAGTAAATGATTAAGAATGATTTGTGTTGACCAAGTGAATATGAAGTAAACTGAACATTTTATAAAACAAATACTACATACGAGTAATTTTTATGATTAAGAATGATTTGTGTTGTTCAAGTTAATTAAAAAACTGAACATTTATTAAACAACCTTCTAATTTTATAACGTAAATACGAATTATTCTGTAAGAAATAAAGAACAAGTTTCTAATATATGACCAAGATAGGGATAGTTGATAAACATATGACTTATTAACTTTTAGTGAACATAATTAAATATATGAAAATATTAACTTTTTAATTTTTGTTGTAATTTCTACAAAACATATATCAAAATTCCTAACTTTTTATGATTTTTCATATGAGAACAATATTGCATATAGAAAATTTTAAAAAATATGAAAGTGTATTAAGTAACCTGTGAATTTTCCAACCTCGATACGGGCTATTCCTTATTAATTAAAGAAATAATTCTCAACATGCGACTAGAATAAGGATATTGGCTAAAAGTATGACTTATTAATTTTTAGTTACTATAATTATGTTTAAAATTATGTCAAAGTCACTATAAAAGTTCATAGACAATTTTATTTTTATTTACAAATATCTATATATTGGAGAGGTTCTTCCTTATAGTTACTTTGATACGGAGTATAAAACTAAAATATAATTTTTTTGCTAGAAATCGCTTATATTCAATTCAAAAATCAAACAATAAACATCCTATATTCTGGCTACCCAAACATTTCCTCTAGACTCCTTATAGCCAATAATAGGCAACCTCACTATTTGATTAGATATAGAATAGACTGCCCAATAATGAGCAAGACTAATCGCTGTCCATGAAAGAGATTCAAAGCTATTATGGGCCAAATTAGTCTGCTTGCTTCCTTCCAAACTAAAAACTAAAGCCACAAAACAGAATTTTCTCTCTCATATGTAGTGCTTTTAGGTATTAGAAGATAAGTTTGCTAACATTTAGTGACTATAATAATAATAATAATAATAATAATAATAATAATAATCTAGCCCTTATATAATACAAAAAAGCTTATATGCTCATTTTTCATTTGAAATTATGCACTCCCTCCGTCCCATTAGAAGGTTCCCACTTTCCTTTTTTGGACGTCCCATTAGAAGGTTCCTATTTCCATTTTAGGAAACAATTAACAATCTTAAGTGACAAATTAATCATTAAATATTAAAATAATACATTTATAACATCACAATTATCAATATTATTAATCATTAAATATTAAAATAATACATTTATAACATCACAATTATCAATATTAACTAAATTATAATATATACCTATTAAAATTATTTCTCAAAATATACTCGAAGTACTTTATTTAATTATTGCCTAAATAACCGTGCCGTTTTGGTATGAGGACCTTCCAACGGGATAGAGGGAGCAATACTTTTAGTTACAAGATAAGTCGACTAACAATTGATCAGGAGAATTTTATCTCCCATATATAGTGGTTTTAGGTAAAAGAAGATAAACTTGCTAATAATAGAGTGGAAGAAGTTTCTCTCTAATATATAGTGTTTCTAGGTATGAGAAGATAACCTTGCTAACAATTGAGCAGAGAAATTGAGCGGGAAAATTTTCTCTCATATGTAGTGCAATTAGGTATTGAATGGGAAAACTCTCTCATATGAAGTTCTTTTAAGTATAAGATAAGCCGGCTAACAATTGAGCAGAAGAATTTTGTCTCTCATATGTAGTGGTTTTATGTATAAGAAAAAATAAGCTTGCTAATAATTGAGCGGGAGAATTTTCTCTCTCACATGTAGTGCTTCAAGCCTTCAATGTATTAGAAGATAAACTTGCTAACAATTGAGCGGACAAATTGAGCGGGAAAATTTTCTCTCATATGTAATGCTTTTAGGTATTATTAGAAGACAAATTGGCTAATAATTGAGCGGGAAAACTCTCTCTCTCTTATATGTAGTGCTTTTAAGTATAAGATTAGAACACAGATTGGCTAATAATTGAGCGAGAAAACTCTCTCTTTCTCTTATATGTAGTGTTTTTAAGTATAAGATTAGAAGATAAATTGGCTAATAATTGAGCGGGAAAACTCTCTCTCTCTCATATGTAGTGCTTTTAAGTATAAGATAAGATAAGTCGACTAACAATTGAGCGTGATAACTTTCTCTCTCATATGTAGTGGTTTTGAGTAACAGAAAATAATAAGTTTCCTAATAATTGAGCGGGAAAATTTCCTCTCTCACATGTAGTGATTCTACATATTAAAATATAAGTTTGCTAACAAATTGAGGGGGGAATTGAACAAGATAATTTTCTTTCTCATATGTAGCGATTTTAGATATATGAAGATAAGAAGACAAACTTGCTAACAATTGAGCGAACAAACTTTCTTTCTCATATGTACTTCTTTTAAGTATGATAATCCAACTAACAATTGAGCAAAAAAAAATTCTCTCCCATATGTACTGCTTTTAGGTATAATAAATAGATATGTAAGCTAACAATTGAGCGGGAGAGTTATCTCTCTCATATGTGGCGCTTTTAGATATAAGAAAATAATCTTGCTAATTATTAAAAGGGAAATATTTATATATTAATTTGTAATTAGATCATGAGTACAAATATATGCACCAACTGCTCTTTCTCGTGCGTATGCACGGGTACTATACTAGTATAAAAGGAATACAAGTACACATTGCAAATGCCCTGTGGCAATGAGCAAGCTTCAATATTGAGGGAGTGTTTGCAATCGCTTCTACTTTACAAATGATTTTGTAAATTTATTTTGGAAAAAATGTTTAATATTAAAAGTTCGTAATGTATGAGAAAAAAATATTTATAAAAGTAAAAGTTGGTAGCTAGCCTGGAAAAAGTGTTTGTGAAGAGTAAAAGTTTAGTAATCTTTGGTCAAAAATGCTTCTGTAAAATAATAAAAAAGTGAAAAGGAAGTTTTAAGCAACTCTCGATTCAACATGCATCCAACTAACTGCTTAATTTAATTTAGGCAGAATTGTCACTTGAAAACACTCATTTCAACTTTAGACAAAAACTGAAAAATACTTTTGTAAAGTTGTTACACACTCTCTTTAATGAACATACATTTTCTATTATGTTACTTTTTTATATTAATTTAGTTGAATATAATTCTACTTCGTACTTTGTAGCCAAATTAAACTTAGGATGCAAAAAAGGACTTTAAATGGCAAAAGTGCATCATAATATGTGTAATGTATCTAGAGCTATTTTGTAGCTCCTCATATTCAGTTTTTAGTATTGTTAGTCATATTTTTATCAAATGTGTAATTTTTTATTCTTCACGTTAAATTGTGTAATGATCAAAATACATAAAGTTAAAGTTATTTTTATTACCTAATTGGTTGGAACTTTCGAGGAGGACTATTTAAGCTATTTTTCGTATAATTGGTTGGAACATTCTTCCAAAAAAATATAATTGGCTGGAACATCGCTTAAAACAATATAGAAGTATTATTAAGAGATTTGAAACAGTCGCAAATGAAATTACTTAATTGAAATATAATTGGCTGGAACATGTAGGTGGTTGATTTTTTTAGTTTTATAAAGAGATTTATTTGAAACAGTCGCAAATGAAATTGTAGTAGATCGTTTTCAAAAGTGGATGAGCGCATTTTGAACTAATTTATTAAGATTTCTTATATTATAATAAACTTTACTTAATTTGAAAAAAATATCATGAACTCTAAATAAAACCCTATTCTCGCAAATGTATTTTATTGATTATTTTTATTTGGATGTATTTCTCTTAGTATCCTGCTCCCAATACTTTACTTTTTGGATCCCCACTGCATAACACTACACTATAGTAAGTCTTAGCTAGTTATATTTTTTGTAAATAAGTTTTATTTCAATAATATTATTTAAAAACCTCTTTAAAAAGGCAATTGCATTAACAAATTTAATTTTCAATGGAAGAAACTACGTGGAGCACAGTACACCTAATGATTAATATCTTACTGCTTATCTTTTCCCATCGTTTACTCCTCCATCTTCATATACTGCTGACCTTTATTCTTTCACATGAGATGGCCAAGAACATGTAGCTCACAAATTGTGGGATTGCTGTATGTTGTACGAAGTTTAGTCCAACTCAAAATTCTAATATAATGCCGCCTCCAAAACTAAAGGCTAGGATGGATAGTAGAAAGGGAAAACTATATATACTCATCCCGTTCCGAAAAGGTTGACCAAATTGACTTTCACGTTGATTAATAAAGTAAAAATTGTGTGGTTGAAATTTGTGTAGAGAAGAGAAAGTTAATTTTAGCCACATATTCCTTACTTTAAATGAAAATGACAAATCTTTTTGGGACATCCAAAAAATGAAATTTGGCGACCTTTTGGACATTCACAATCGACTTTGTTGCGGAAAAAAAGGATGTGAATTGGACTATAATCACAATCTGACAGATAGAGAGTGGGGCTCTGTCCCCGGTATTTGCAGAGTCCCTATGCATTTTTAATTAGCATAATAACCTCTCATCGCAGTTGCCGGGATTCGAACCCGGGACCTAACCCTTGTGACACTCTCTTGCTACTAGTTGAACTATGCCCACCACAGGTCAATCGACTTTGTTGCGAGAGTACTATAGTAGTGCATCTTGTACGCCAGGCCAGCTGGTGTTGTTTGCTCAAATTTCCACTACGTATAGTAGTTTAGTGGCTGGTGGTAGATAAGATAATGATGTCCACATGTTTCAACAGTGGTAGTAAGCATGCTCATATATGGAGTACTACGTATTCAATTACAGTGAGACAAATACTAGAGTTGGGTCTTTTTTTGTCAATTTTAGTTTTTTTCCAAATCGGTTTAGGCTATTTCAATTTTGATCGGTTTTTTAGATCAGTTCCGGTTTATCTTGTTTTAGCCCTAGTGAATAGTATAGTACACCAAGGGTTCTACCATTAGTGATATCGATTGCCTGTTGAGTCAATTGTACCAGGGATTGGTATTAATTAGCAAATTCTATTTAGCTGTTTTGATGAGTCATTCTCATTAGCGGAGTGCGTATACCGTGCAACCCGTATACGGTGAGCACCGTATACCGGGACGGTTTTTCTTTTTTTTTTTTCCTTTTTTTTTTTTAAAAATGGTAATAACTTTTTTATTTGTGATCTGATTTTTATGAAATTTATATCAACATTTTTTATTTTTCATGATCTTTCAAATGAGACCAATATTGCCTATGTAATTTTAACATATTAACATTTGTGTGTAAAATATGTAACTTTAAGTGTTAAAATATGTAACTCTTCAGTCAAGTCAAATGCAACTCGTGTGTATAAATATGTATCTCTACGTGTAACAATATGTAACTTTACGTAAAAAAATATGTAACTCGCATTCAGGCAGGTCACGTGCAACTCGTGTGTATAAATATGTAACTCGCGTGTATAAATATGTAACTTTACGTGTAAAAATATGTAACTTTACGTGTAAATACATGTAAGTCGCGTTCAAGCATGTCAAATGCAACTCGTGTTTATATATATGTAACTCGCTTTTAAAAAGATGTAACTTGCTTATAAAAAGATGTAACTTGCTTATAAAAAGATGTAACTTGCTTATAAAAAGATGTAACTCGCTCATAAAAAGATGTAACTCAATGTATTATCAAATGTAAATGAGGCCACTGATTCACTACCAAACAGATTCGATCTTCTATTTCACAAACCTATCATCTCCCAAACAGATTCGATTTTTCTTATAATCCAATACTCATTAATATAATAGTTCGATAATTTCTTAAAATTACATACACAATATTGGTCTCATTTGAAAGATCATGAAAAATAAAAAATGTTGATATCAATTTTATAAAAATCGGATCAAAAATAAAAAAGTTATTATCATTTTTAACAACAAAAGCAAAATAGAAAAAAAAATCTGATCCTACGTCGTTTTTGCAACCGGACGCACCATCCTCATGGTGCGCCGGTTGCACCATATAATTTGCGCATTAGCGGGTTGAATAAAACGTTTGATAGCTTAGCCGTTTACAATTAAAGTTAGTGAGAATTGCAATTTTAGTCCCGAAACTTTTGCATGTACGCGTTATTAGTCCTGTAACTTTACTTGGTTGCATATTTGATCCTGTAACTAATAAATCTTTGCAATGCAATGACTTTTTCACATGAAAGTACATTTTCTGGCCTTAAATTCGCCTGAAAAGATGTCGCTAGTGTCGGATTGTCTGACGGTAAATATACTTTCTGGTGGAAATTAAAAGTCCTAAAATCGCAAAGATTTATTACTTACAAGACCAAATCTCTAACCATGTAAAGTCACAGGACTAGGACTATAACGGGAAAGCAGAAAGTTAGGTGACTAAGATTGTAATTCTCCCTTAATAGTTAAGATGTAAAATGAACATTAAGGGCATGAATAAAAAGTCTCTCTCTATATATATACATATATATATAAGATCACGTGAGAAGTGTGTCTTAGGCTGAGAACTGTGAAGTTTAAATAATAGAAACAATAAGGTAACTTATATAACAGAAATCGTAACTTATAAATCCAACAACTCTAAATCAAAAGTATAATTTTATAGTGATAAATTGAGGAAGTATGAGATTTCAATGACAACCACTAGTAGTAGTCGAAAAATATTTACAAAAAAATATTTATCAAAAAGACATTTATTTATTTACCAAGACATATATGTCCTGGTAAACTATTAATACGCTAAACATAACTTATAAAGCCAAATGTTTAACTTTTACAAGTTTTTAAATTACTTCGCAATTCTCAGCCTAAGAAAACTTCTCACCTCACACACACACAAGGGTGTAGCGGTTGCAATAAAAGAAGCCGAGGTCACTAGATGAAGAAAAATAGAAGGGACAGATCTAGTACAAATTGTGATTAATGTGCAAACGTTTGTACGATGCATTTTTACGTTATTTGTATTGCATATTGAGGTTCAAAGTGTTTTATATTATTCTACGATGAAATTAAATAACAGTTGCACATTAACGTTCAAAGTGTATCATCCAAAGAAAGTTACTCCGTAAATTTTATTACCAAAATGCCACCATGCATTTTCAGCTTTTGGATCAATTCAACGGATTACCAAGATGAGATAGTAATTAGTAAATTAGGAGGAGTTTGTGTTTGATGCCTTATTTATATATACATGTGTGTGTATTTAAACTAACATTTTTATGTTTATATTTCTTGATAAGTTTTTAGAAAAAATCTTAAAATTATATTTACTACTGATGTATATTCGTTTATTTTTAGTATTAATATTATAAATACCACCATTTTTCCTAGTTTTGAAAAACTTATTATAAAAACCAAAAGTATCCATGATGGTATTTTTTATCATTGTTATTACACTTTCATTATTTTTTTATTGTATTTCAAATAATAATTTTTAATTATTATTAAATAGTTAAAAATGAGGTAAAGGTGGAGTGTATATTAAGCATTTAAAATGTAAAATCATAATTTTCTTGAAAAACTATTAAAAACAGATTTCTCATTTTTAATTTGGCTTTTTTACATAATCAAAATCAGATTACTAAACACTCCAAATAGATGTTTGACACAATCCAATGGTCAAAGTCAATGATATTTTCCCCGTTGATTTATAATAAAACACAAACACAGCTATTTGGAAAATAAAAAAAAAATGTTTCCCCTTTACTTATAAATGTCAAGAAAGTAAATGATTATACAAACCTATCTGTGGCGCTGATTTGATTAGGCCGCTCATACTTATATCACATCTTTTAGACCATGTTTGGTATGAGGTAATGAACCTTGTAATGTAATGAATATTATGTGATGCTTCGAATACGATGTTTGGTATGCCCATTTTATTAAAAATCATAATATAATGAGCACCGCATATGTGGAATTCATTACACTCATAGGTGTAATAAGCTTTACATTGCAAAAATTATGTATTTGAGATTACCCATTATAGGGTGTATTTGAGATTACTGAAACCTAGGGGTGGACTGGGTCGGTCCGGACTCTGGGTCGGGCGGGACTCCGGGTCGGGACGGACTCCGGGACGGTCTTGGACGGGCTCCGGGTCCAAAATATCCAGGCCTGGTACCGGCCCGAGTTAGTACCGGGACTGGGTCGGGCCGAACTTAATTTTTTTTGTCTTTGCGAATTAATTCCAACCCCCTACCACCTACTCCCAAACCCCCCAAACCTCCCAACCCCACCCACCTAGCACTTAGCCCAACGGAAAAAAATAAGAAAATAATAATTGGGCCCGGACCAAGCCCGCCTTGCCCCTACTAGTTTTTTTCGTTTTTATTTTTTATTTTTTAATTTTTTTTTTAAAATTGTTTTTATTTTTTATTTTATAAATATTTATATTTTGTATTATTTGTTTACGTTTATTATTATTTGTTTACGTTTTTAATTGTTTTTTATGATTTTATTATTAATTAAGGCATTTTAAAAGCTACAAGGGTAAATTTGTCCAAACACACATAAATAGTCCTACTGGTGGGATTTAAAAGATGTAGTCCTATTTGTGCTTTTGAACCACTTTTTTGTCATATTTAGGCAATTCACTCATAAACAATCTTAATTATGTAATGTTGATTACATTTCAAAGTTGTTATTACTTAAGTAACCAAACATTGTAATGCAATAGAGACTCCATTTCATTACATTTCATTTTGTATTGCATTACGCATTTCATCGTTACTGACCTTAATATAAAAGATTATACGGAGTATTATGATATTGGTAACTGGCATGCGAACATCCAGGATACCCCAAATCCGGTCATTTAGCTATGAAAAAGAAAAGTGACCAAATTATTTTTCATATATCTTCAATCCTTGCATCGCACTTTTAATATAATCAGCGTGTTAAATAAATCTATGGAATTGCTTTAGGTAGAACGAGTAATTGGTTTATTGCATTTGATTGGTATGCTAGAGATTCCATTAATTTGTTGCTGTCATTGTAAAATTGTAAAGGTGTTCATATCGCACCCAAGGGTACAGCAAGTCAACTTGAGTCACTATAGTGCTAGCTTATGCATGAATGAATGATTATACAATATTATGTTATGGTGGATGCCTAGATAACAGATTCGTGGTTCATCAACATTGTATTGACTACATTCGGGTTTATTAGACTAGCTAGGTCTCATATATAGCATTATACACTAAACTTGACATATATAATAAGGCTTCATAATAGCCTTACTCATTCGTTAAAGCACAGAGAAACTGCTTTCATATGACCCATAATTTAACAAAAAGTTTATACGTAGTATAACACTAAATATACCCTAACAAACTTGGCTTAAATCACCTCCATAGCCCCAAACTCATAATCCATGTGACGCCCCTCCCTAGGACCAAGGGCACGTCGCCTCCTAGCTAGGCCCCGTGCTTGCGCTAGGAGTATGTGATATATCGACATACTTCTTTATTTTCTTCTGGGAGATTTGCAATTTTAGTCCTGTAACTTTCAGCTGTTATCGTTTTTTGTCCTGTAACTTTAAGCACTAGCAAATTTGGTCCTGTAACTAATATATCTTTGTAATTTAAGGACTTTCCCACCGGAAAGTACACTTTCCGGCGGCGGAAAAGTTCGACGTCGGCGACATCTTTTCCGGTATGCTATTGCCGGAAAGTGTACTTTTCAGGGGAAAACTCCTTAAATCGCAAATATTAATTAGTTAGAGGACCAAATTTGCAAGTGACTAAAGTTACGGGACTAATGATGATAACGATCGAAAGTTATGGGATGAATATTGTAATTTTCCCTTTTCTTCTAGAAGCATACGTGATCCTTGCATAGGTTTCCCACTTGCTTGATTGATTATTAGGAGCCAAGACATGCATTGTTAGTTATCTCACACCTTAATAAACTGAAAGAGACACCTTAACTTGTTATTAAGGTGTGAGATAACTAACAATGCATGTTAGTTATCTTAAATTATGGTACTCCCACTTTCTCTTATAGGCTGTGAATAAATTGGTAATTACTAATTACAGTTAAGCAGTTATTAAGCTTCTATATATATCTTCTAACATTGCATAGGACCTTATAATATACTCTTTAATTTGAAGATATGAATGAGAGAAGCTACATAGCCTCAACTATGGCTTGGTGGTTTTGTTTCTTGTTTTTTGGTTGTCTTGTGTATGGGCAACTTGATTACCATTATTATGACTCCACATGCCCAAGCCTGACACGAATAGTCAAATATACCGTTTGGTCTGCCATAGCCAATGAAACTAGGATGGCTGCCTCTCTTCTTCGCCTCCATTTCCATGACTGCATTGTTAATGTAATTACATCTTTCAAGATTTTACTTTATGTTTTCTTTTACTTTTAAAATTATTGACCAGGATAACAAATGTTTGATTTTATGGATGATGAAAAAAAGTCTGACTTAGTTGAATATGAATGATAAATCCCAGAAGATTATCATAGTGTTCAGTATTCCATATTTGTATAGATTTCCATACTTGTGATGGTTTTGTGAGGTCGATCGAGTCATTCGAGACACCAATCACTTTTAGCCAATTTTTCTTAAAATGTCAAAACACAACTGATAAATAACACACATGTTTAATTTATTCGGTCTACATTTAATTTGTTAGGTTGATTTCAAAAGGTTGTAAAATACATACTCCCTAATCCCTATAGAGTAGGGGTGAGCAATTCGGTTTTCTTCGGTTTCGGTTCGGTTTCGATTTATTCGGTTTGAGAGAATTTGTACCAAACTCAAACCAATTGTGTTTCGGTTCGTTTTGAAGTTCGGTTTACCAAAATGAAAAGTATTAGGTTCAATTAAGTTCGATTTGATTCGGTTTCTTATGTTTATTAATTATTTTATTTGATCAAGTTATATATTTTAAAATTAGAAAATGAAAGTATTAATCCATCCCATCTTCTTTTATTTATTATTTAAGTAAAATGTAAAAGGAAATAAAAGATAGAAAAAGAAATAATAAAATCATATAAATTAAAACTTCTAACATCTTTTCGATCACTAGAAAAAGATTTACTTCTCACAAAAAATAAATTTATAGTTGATTAACATTTATAATATCACATAAAGTATTCAAAGAAAACTAAAGTAGTTGGTTGTACAAATGTCGTAATATTCACAATTTTATTCAAATGAATCATGTAAAAAAATATATATGCAATTTGCTATTGTTATCGTTGAACATCTTTTCATACAGGTAAAGTACAAAATGTGACAAACACAAATACGTCATATTAGCTAACTTTGTCATAATGATTGTATGAAATGTTGTATATGCTAAATATGTATTTTTCATGTCAAAATTATTTATTTATATCTTAAAAATGAAGAGTAAGATAAATACGGTGAGAAAGGACTCCCAGAAGAGAAATGAGAATGAATTTGGATCGTTGCATTGTGTTATGTGAAACTGAATTGTGCATTTGGTTAAACTGAAATTGAAATGTGCAATAAAAGGTTAAACTCAAATGTGCATTAAGTGAAATTGAAATTTGTGAAATAAAAGGTATGAAAATGGCATCACATTGTAGCTTATTTTCTGCACATTTCAGTTTCACGTAATGCACATTGGAGTTTCATCTAGTGCACAATTCAGTTTCATATAATGTCAGTTGAGTTTCAATTTCACCTAATGCACGTTCCAGTTTCATCTAATGCACATTGAATATCACATAAAACAAATCTAGTGGTCCTGATTCATTCTCATTTCTCTCCTAAGATCATTTACTCACTTGAAAGTAAATGAAAACAAAAAGTAAATTCTTGTCATATATATAGACACACATACATATATATAGGGAGCGGTTCTGGTAAGAACGGACTCCCACGAGAGAAATGAGAATGAATTTGAACCATTGGATTGTATTATGTGGAAGGCCAAAGGGTCAAATAGGTACATGAACTAACTTAAAGTGTTCAATTAGCCCCTTATATAGGAGGTTCTTCCCGACCGTCGCCAATTGGGGTGGTTCCTGGTAAAACAATTTGATGAAATTTTTTGAGCATCTTCTTCATTAAGTCTAGTTTATCCATATCAAATTTCAGCTAAAAATTAAATCGAGAAGGCAGTCAAATGATTTTCTGAAATGTACTGCGCTTTTTAACTGCGCAGTTATCTTCAAAAATCATTTGACTGCCTTCCCGGTTGAATTTTTAGTTTGGTATGAGTAAACTAGACTTAATGAAGAAGATGCTCAAAAAATTTCATCAAAAAGTTCCATCAGGAACTTCCCCAATGGGCGACGGACGGGCAGAACCTCCTATATAAGGGGCTAATTGAACACTTTAAGTTAAGTTACCCAATGAAATTGAGTTTTGCATTTGGTGAAACTGAAATATGCATTAGATGATATTGCAATGTGAAAAATAAAAATTTAAACTCAAGTGTGCATTAGGTTAAACTGAAATGTGCGGAATAAAAGGCATAAAAATAATATCACATCTTACCTTTTATTCTACACATTTCAGTTTCATCTAGCACACATTTCAATTTACACACTACAAAAAACACAAGGATTAGCAGGGATTTTGATGAGATTTGGCAGGGATTTTGGCAGGAATATGCCAAATCCGTGCCAAAAACACTTTGGCATGAGCTATTTGGCACGAAAAATCGGTAAGTCTGTGCCAAATTCCGTGTCAATCCCGTAATTTTTTTGTAGTGACATAGTGCACAATTCAACTTCACATAACTGTCAAACGTGATACGTGCTATTTTTTATGAAAACCATTTTTGGAAGTAAAAAAATTATTATATATTTATAACTAAAATAAAGATTGTTTACAACAACGTGACTAGTGACTAGAATAATAATGAAATTATATTTAATTTTTAAATTTAAGTTATCATGACAGTATGACACTACATTATACGATAGTACGTAGTAGTAATTAAATAAGCTTTATTTTAATAAAATCTCGTTAAATTTTTTTGTAAAAATCTATTTTTAACCTGCATTTAATAAAAGCACATTCTTACGAGATGAAAAATAAAATCTCGTTAATTCTTTTTTTTTGTGTGAAAATCTATGTTTAACCTGCATTTAATAAAAGCACATTCTTACGAGATGTGCAGGGTTGTGATGGATCAGTACTACTGGAGGGTGGGGAGAAATTAGCAAACCCAAACAAAGGCTCGTTGAGGGGATTTGAGGTAATTGACACAATAAAAGCCAACGTGGAGAAAGTCTGCCCATCTACTGTTTCATGCACTGATATACTAACTCTAGCTGCTAGAGAAGCTACCACTTTGGTAAGTTCAACTAGCCCGTCTCTCTGATATTTGGATAGAGGAGACTAGGAGAGTTATATATGGTCATAAAAAAGTAGAGTTATGTCATTGATAATTAATTGATAAATTGGATGTAAACTATAAAGTATGAATATATTAGAGTTACATAAATATTACCAAATATGTTATGTGACAAATTTAGTGAGACGGACGAAAAAAAAGAGACAATTATATAGGAAAAATGAGATGGAGGAAGTATAAATTATTTTATACTGGGAAAAGTGTCAGATAGGGCATCAAACTTACAAAAAATGTCAAATAAGGCCTTATATAAGAGGTTCTATCCGGGCGACGCCATTTGGGTTGGTTTCCGGTAGAATTTTTCAATGTAAACTTTTTGAGCATCTTATTCATCAAGTCTAGTTTACTCATACCAATTTTTAGCTAAAAAATCAATCAGGAAGGCATTCAAATAAATTCTTGAAGATAAGTGCGCAGTTAAAAGCGCAGTTATCTTCAAGAATTTATTTGAATGCCTTCCCAATTGAAGTTTTAGCTTATATTTGGTATGATTAAACTAGACTTAATGAATAAGATTCTCACAAAATGTCATTGGACAATTCCATCCGGAACCATCCCAAATGACGTCGGCAAGACAGAACCTCTTATATAAGGCCTTATTTGACATTTTTTGTAAGTTTGAGTCCCTATCTGACTCTTTTACTTTATTTTTAGAGGATTGTCCTAAAACATTACTAATAAAAAATTTATTATAACTTTGAAACTCTTAATGACTATAATTGTATACAAAGTTTATTACATCATAGTGACTACGTAGTCACTATATGTAAACTTTGAAAGAAGTAAGAAACTATAGTCATTAATAACTACCGTCTTACCGAATCACATTTTTGTTCACAACTTTTCCATAAGTAATATTATCGAATTTTTTCTTGTTTTTATGTATGTATTAAAAGATTAATACATATTATTTGTCTCTCATTTGCAAAACATTTAATTATATGATTCCTATTGTCTCAATCTATGTGAGAGTTAATATGGGAGTTGATATTTGGATATGGAGATTACTTTGACCATATTGCCCTTTTCAAAAAATGAAAGTTTTCATTAGTGATTTATTCTGACCATTTTGCCCTTGTAAAAAATGAAAGTTTTCATGAGAGTGATTTTATCATGTCAGGCTGGAGGGCCGTGCTGGAAGGTGCCATTTGGGCGCCGAGATGGACTAACCACAAGTGAGGCAGCAGCAAACGACCAAGTCCCTTCACCTTTTGAGCCTTTGGAGAATATCACTGCAAAATTTTTCTCGAAGGGCCTTGATATTAAGGACGTCGTTATTCTTTCAGGTATAAATAAATAGCACAATATCACTTCAAATTTCAAAGAAGCTAATGCATTGACCATAGTTAAAAAAGTTATATCAATATTATTTAAAACACACTATTGCACAGTATTAATACACAAATATTAAAAAGAAATTGTCCTAAATAGGACTAAATGAGGTTTAGAATTCCAAAATAGGATTACTATGTTTTTGTTCCTGAAATAGGAGTTGTTAGTAGCATGTATTGAAAAATACTGTCATATGTCATGTTAAATGCACTGTACTGCAACTATTTGGCAGTCACGCCTACAAGTTGACAGTAATTAATTACTGTCATGTTAGTCCTATTTCGGGAATAAAAACATAGTAGTCCTATTTTGGAATTCCAAACTCCATTTACTCCTATTTTGGGAAATCTCCCCAAACTAAACCTTTTGTAGTCTGTGTGCGTATAATCAAAAGAAGGTACTATGAAGATACAATATATGGTGCCTCCCAAATTGAGCTTTAAAAAAATAAAGGTCACCTTCAATCTAAGGATTATTTAATCTCATTGTAAAAACATTGAAGCTTTATCTAAAAAATCAGTGCAAGCTTGGTTCAAAGCATGGGCATAAATAAACATGCCATATACTGGACTAGGCCGTTACAAAGAAATTGAATAAACTTTTATACATTTTTTTACAGCAATAATTAACAATTTTTTGAATGCAGGTGCACACACTATCGGTTTTGCTCGGTGCTCCACATTCAAACAAAGGCTCTTTGATTTCGATGGTCATGGTAATCCCGATGCATCGCTTGACGCATCAATGCTAAGCGGCTTGCGAATCATATGTGCTCAGAACCAAACCGATTCGGATTCGAATTTGGCACCTTTAGATTCTGTCACAACCAACAAGTTTGACAATGTGTACTACAAGAATTTGTTGAACAACACAGGGTTGCTCCAGTCAGACCAAGTTCTCGCGACCAATGATAAGACTTCTGAACTTGTGCTTAATTATAGCAGATATCCATATTTGTTCATGAAGGACTTTGCCACATCAATGGAGAAATTGGGGAATGTAGGTGTGCTTACTGGGAAAAATGGAGAGATAAGGAAGAACTGTAGGGTTGTGAACTAATTTTAGTTATATTTTCCTCTAAAAGAAAATGAAAAGTAAGATCCAATAAAGATTGCTTCTTTCTTAATTGAAATTGGAACCACTCTTGCAGACCACTTGGATTAAGTGGATATATCATATATGGCGATTACATAATTAGCAGATCATGTAATAATGTTGAGTTGTTGACTGCTAATCTAGAAAATGATACGTACATATACACACACACCATTTTATCTTGAAAAAAATAAATTGAAGATTCAAATCCTTTGAACTTTTTTATGAGGGAATTAAACATATGTAGGGACTTAGGGAGGCACATGAGACATATTCTACCCCAAGTTTATTTGAAAGACGCCTTTAGTCCATGCAAATACGAGACATTTTATTTTAGATTTCTGCAAAATATGTTTATTAGTTTTTCATCTCTATAATATGCGCTATTTTTTTAGTCCATCTCTAACTTTAAAATCACTTTACTTAGAAAAAAGTTATTGTCGGTTGTATAAATCTGCTAGAAACATTTATATTTATTCTTTTATAATTTTTTTGAGGCTAATATGATATTTAAAATAATATGAAACTAATCATTCACTTTTTAAAAATATGTATTAAAAACCCTTTAGAAATTAAATTAAATTCATTTTTAATAACATGACAAAGAATTAGAGGAAATCTATTATTCAAGATTGTTTCATTGTCAAATGGAGGTTGTTATTATTGTTGACGAACTAAAACGAAAAACCATTGTAAAATTCATGGATGATTCTTTTATGTCGTAATGTAAAATAGAATGTATTATATTTACAATGACTAAAACCCAACGAACTAAGTTTCTATTTGATATTTGTTTTTATGTATAACATTTTTACTAAATCAGTGATATGAAAGGTTAGTAATAGATTTTGTAAGGGTGTCTGCCCTTGGTTATAGGCCACTATGATATTTTTGAGGATATTTTTTTTTTTTTGAGAAAAGTAAAATCACACTTCATCAAAATATCATCATTGTGCGATGCATGAACCGATGAACGATACAATCAAGAGGAATACTCACCCAAACTCGACAATCAGACAAAGAATCGCCAAACCCAACTAATATATGAACATCACGATTCACAGATCGTCTCAAGTGATAGAAAGAGATGCGTGTAAAATTAGTTCAAATCACTCCAATATTATCCGCAAGAAGACCATGTACGTATAGTACCAACATCTCCACCCTTCTGGTAATAACATTAATCGCAGAAGGCCATACAATCTCATCCTTTCTATTTACATCAACTCAAGGCCTCTCGAATACAAATTCTTTTTGTTTCCGAAGGAGAACACTTCTCATACCAAGGTTTCGCCATACCTGCAATAAAATCCCCACATGAATCATGAATAACCCACCCTTACCCACATTCTTCACCACACGGCTGCATCCGTGTTTACCTTTAATTTATTTACTCTCAGTTTCTTCCACACCATTGCTTCATGATGTTGAGTTCACAACTATCAAGTTTGGGTATTTAAATTAAGGAAGAATTTGGATTGGCAACTCATGTAATGATGAAATTTAATGTTGGACACTATTTTTAGAGATATTGATAAGAACACACTTAAAATATATTGACACAGTATATGGTGCGTACTAACAATCATTCACAATTGTAATGTATTTTGATTAAGAAATAATTTGGTTTACTAGAAATACTATGTATGATTTTATTGTTTTCATATTAAAATGGGAAAACCACCAAAGTAGGAGCAAAGATGTTTTTAATTAAGATTGTACTCCATAATTATCTAGTCTGATCTGAACTGGTGTGATTTGGTCTAAAATATGTTTGTCTATGTGTGTTTTACAACTATTGATTGATGTTCAATCTGATTGACCTGTTTTGTTTAAGTCTTGTCTAGTTTCTTATGAGACTGTACCAATCAAACAAAAAATATTCTAAAAACAATATCAAATTTCAAAAAATGAATGCTTATGGTTTCCCCTAAATAAGATTATGCTATTATCATCCTGGAATTAACAGTATTTTGAGATCAAAAATATAGTTGTCATATTTTAGAATTTCAAATGTTCATACTACAAATTTTATTTGAACAAGTCACAATGTTAACGAGTCACAATGTTACCTTGGGTTGAACTTAGCAAAATATTTGTTGACTAGGAAAATATGATGAATTATTAACAACTGCCAAATAACAAGTGTCCAACTGCTTTTTATTTATTCCCTCAGATGCTCAGCATTAAGAAATAGGGCCATGTTTGGTGTACACAAGTTGTACACAAAAAGTGTACATTGCCTGTGTACACAGGCAATTAGGGAGATTTTGGTATAATCTTGCCCTTTTTAAAACAAATTGCATGTGTACACAGGCAACTAGGAGGTTTTGTGTACAATTTGTGTTAACTTGTCAGGTTTTCTCGTCTCCAGCTCACAACAAGCACCACTAGGGACGGGACGGTCACACTCAGGTCAGCCCAGCCACCTCAACGCACATCATAGATGAAGGGAGGAAGCACATAGAGATCAAACACGAAGGGACCGAATGAGAAGAGACAAATAACTATCTCTATCTCTCTATCCTCACTCTCTCTAACGGAAGACCTTAAGTCTCAAACAAGAGAACCAAAGGAGCTTAAGTACTGAGGTTCAAGGGCTAGCAAGAACAACATGGGCCGGGGCTAAGGACGTTGCAAACAGGCTCAACACAAGGGGAGAGGGCTGCCAAGGCCTAAATGGGCTAATACCTCCACATTGTCCACCTTATTTGCCATAAATGGTGGTGCAAGGTACCACACACAAAGAACAAAGAGCTCGTGGTTCATCATAGTTGGGTCACTAGTGATATCCTAAAGCCATAACTGGCAAACAAATTGGAGATACACAATGTACTCCTAACAGAAAAATTGGAGAAGTACACTAGGTACTCTCTCAATAAGTGAGTGCAGATTTTCTCAAGCACTTGAGTTTTGAGAATCTACACTCTCAAATACCCAAAACCTGCAAACAGAGTTAACCATAGTCCAAATTTTAAATTCATTTACAAGATAACAACTTTTCAGCAGACAAACACTTCGTTCCCATATCTACTGAGTTAAACTCAGAGGGTATCTTGCACAGCTTCACCTTACCTGCATCTAAAATATCACGAATAAAATGGAAGCTCACATCAATGTGTTTAGTTCTATCATGAAAAATATGATTTGTGCAAAGCTGGATAGCAGACTGGCTATCAGAAAACACAGTGGCATCCCGTTTAAGAAAACCTATTTCAGAAACAAGACGCCTCAACCAAATGGCTTCCTTAAAAGCCTCTATAGCTGCAACATACTCAACCTCAGTGGTTGATAAAGCAACAATAGGTTGTAACTGAGATTTCCAACTAACACAAGAACCATACAAAGTGAACACATAGGAAGTAGTAGATTTCCTATTGTCTTTATCATTAACATAGTTAGAATCAACATAACCACTCAGTTTCACACCTTCAACACACTTAGAAAATATCAAACCATGATTTGTAGAAAACTTCAAGTATCTCAAAAGCCATTTCAAAGTATTCCAATGAGGCATACTAGGATTAGACATATACCAACTCAAACAACTTACAACATAAGCAATATTAGGCCTAAAACTAACCATGAGGTACATCACATAACTTATAACATTAGACTAGGGAACAGACTTCATAAGATCAATTTTAGAAGCAGTCTTAGGAGACTGATTCTTACTTAGCACAAGTGAGAGTCAAGAGGAACATGCACAGATGCAGCAGAAGACATATTAAACTTACTCAAAACCTTCTCCACATATGAAATCTGATTTAGCACATGCAAGAGTATGCTTACTCATGTCCCTAACAATGTTAATCCCAAGTATCCTCTTGGCATCACCAAGATCTTTCATAATAAAGTTGTCATAAAGGCATTTTTGAACAAATTGAATAGATTTAAGACATGGACTGATGATCAACATGACATCCACATAGATTAACAAGAACATAGGAACAGAGGAAGTATTCTTGAAATAAAGAAAATGATCACATGCAGATTTCACAAATTTCATAGACCGCATACACTTGTCAAACCTAATATTCAACTGCCTAGGGATTGCTTCAGGCCATACAAGGCCTTACTAAGCAGACACATATGATCACTCTTCTTGAGACCCACAAAGCCCTCAGATTGAGTCATTTAAATCTTTTTATCTAATTCACCATGCAAGAATTCAGTGGTAACATCCATTTGTTTCATCTCCCAATCATAATGAGCAACTAAGGCAAACATGATCTTAACAGTAGTAAACTTAACTACAGGAGCAAAAATTTCAGCATAACCTATCCCCTCTTTTTTAGTGAACCCTTTAGCAACCAGCCTAGCCTTATAGTTTGGCCGTTAAAAGTTTTGAAACTCTTACATGGTTAGCGATTAGTCTCGCTCAAATTTGGTGATCTATTCTATGTCTAATAGTGAGAGTGTCTTTTGGCTATGACGTGGTTTACCGTGACCATGGAGATGTTCGTTTCTTAAATATTAATATAATCTCTTTTCTTTCATAAAAAGTCTAATATATTTTTCGTTATATAAATTCAATTATGTTTACTATTTACTAAATACTGCTTTGGATTATTAGCTACCAATATACACGTCCATCGGTCCATGCGTGCATGGACACACACAACATTGATACATGCGGTATACAAGTGTCTAACTTGCTTACTTGCTTAATGAATCAAGAGTAATACGAAGTAGTTTATATGAACGTTTTTTTGTAAAAAGTGTAGACGTGTAGTTGTACTATTATTTAGTGAAAAATTCATTCTCTAAAATTTTTAATCATTGTCACAAAAAGATTTTGAGGTAAATGATTAAAATGAAAAATATCACTTTGTATATAAAGGCCGAAAATGAAAATAAAACTAAAGTGGGTGTATAGGTCGCGCTAATAAATATTTAAATATAGATGACGATAATGAAATGTCAATGGTCCTATTCAGATTATGAATATATGGAGATTAAAGTCATATGACTCCATAAAATTAGAGACTGTATTATTAGAAAGGAAAAAGTACATAAAAAATAATTGTGTTTGGGACCGTTTTCTAAACATAAAAAAACATGTGTTTCATTTCTAAACAAAATAGACAATGTGTTTAAAT